ATGTTCCAAAAAAGCTAAGTACACCTGACAATGAGCTCTCCGGTATGGTAAGCTCTGAATTATGAGTGCACAACAGAAAATTTCAAAAGATGAACTTTCCTATGTCGTCCTGAAGCGAATAAAAAATCAGGCCGTGTAAGCTCTCCGATGGAAAGAGTTCAGCAGGCCGTGAATGAAAGCAGAATAAAATTTAAAAAAACCCATAAGTAAATGGTTTTTGTCTCGAATTTCAACTTAAGTACTCTATCTCTGTTCGGAGCTGGTTCTGTCAGTGCGTCTAGTGTTATTACACTTTGGTTTGAATCAAATGAAGCTCTCCTAGTAAATTCACACCAAATGCATTTTCAGTGGAGCAAACATTAGGCTGCAGTCAATATATTAATTTGAGTGGAACGGTCAATTGGGACATATTGACCGGCTGCCTTTAAAAAGCGAAGCAGTGTAAATAATAGTTGTATTTATGTTGAGAGAATGTGTTCTATCTTAAGTATAATGGGCCCATCATTCAAAAGTGGAATAAAGTACACGGTTGTTTACGATTTTTAAAGTCATGTCAACATTTGATTTGGTAGGCAGAAGTCCTTGATGGACTCAGGCGAATCAATTAGGGAGGAGTTAATGTCATATTGTTTCGATCAGTCCATCGTTACCTAATTATATAGCTAGGCGACTAAGTCAAGTGAATGTATAATTACATATAACTAGAATACAGTTTGTCATACAAAAGCTTACCTTTCAGTTTCAGTAATATATTTTGTCGGAAACGAATGCAAGGTCTTGAGAGAATCTGGCAAGTCCCCTCTAAAGAGTAGTTTTTGGTCCACGAGATCAAGAATAATCAAGCGAACGAGTTCCCCCAGATACATTCCAGAGACCATTTTTTCAAAACTACATGAGGATACATATCGTAAGAAACAAGAAGCCATCGGAAAACCTACATTTGCTTTCCAGGATGAAGACTTCCTTTGTCCAGGAGTTTGTCGTAGGAAGTTAAATAAGGAGCTAAATCACCCTCTTCACCGAAGGCCCCCCATTCCATGTTAATTATGACGTTTTCGTCTGTTACGGGAGGACTATTTCTCGAAGCCAGTATTTTATGCATAGAGGGGACATTTTCGGACTTCTCAATGTAGGCTGCGTTTGTCCCAGTTCCTAAAATTAGGGAAGAATGCACATTTAGTAATGCATAATGTACAATAGAACGCGTGTGAGACACATTTTGTTACATAAACGTGTGGTGATTGATATATAGAAACTGACCGACTATCAAACCGACGGCACATTTTCGATCTTCGAGTGCACAGGAGGCCAATGTACCGACGGTATCATTAACGACAGCCACACAGTGGATTTTGAGGCCCTGCAAGTTTTCAGAAAAAAACGTTTATGGGATCCGCAGAATATGTTAGCTGCTAATGTAGTGGCATCGAAAATCTGAAATTCAATGTAAGTTCAGTCACATGCTTGATCGAGTAGGCATCAAGGGTTTTATTGCAGTCATCCCAATTGTGTTTTGCTGCTTTTCTATCTCTGCATACCTACAGATAATATCTTAGGTGAACTACCTCACAGCTATATGGGACACAACTTCATAATAGTCCTGGTTATTTTCCACTAAATGGACAATACTTATTATACATGGATACCTATCGGCATGAAAAGCATTCAAATATAATGCGTCGATTTAGAGCTGAAGTGAAACGCATCAAAGTTTTGAGTAAATAAAAGTGATATATACAAGTATCAAGAACTTGACAAAATATAACACTTCTTAAAATAACCGTATAACTGAGTTTTGAAAGTCTGACTGGTATTAATCGTCTTTCTGATACTAAAGTAGACAAAACATTGAACGCAAAACCACACCGTCCTGGTTTGTAAATATGACATACGACAACGAATATTTTAAGGAATATTGTACAGAGGAAGTTAAGATCAAATATACAAATGTTCAGATTCTCATGAATTTCGTCCACTTAACTTAAATAAATCTGTAAATATCGTTAGTACGGTGGGGCCTCTGAAAAGCATAAATGCACAATATCCACCTAAGCCCGCACAAGTCAACGATTATTTGCTTACCGTTTTATCGATAGCCTTTTGCAGAAGGTGAGCAACATCCTTCCCCACGACGTCGCTGGCATCAAAACCTTTCGTCCAACGCACAAGGATCGCTTTGTTTAATCCATGTTGTTCACAAGGAAAAGAGAACGTGAAACCGAGTTTCATTTCCTTGTCAGCAATACCAAAACGCTGCAGAAAGTTCTTAAGTGTGGTAGCTATGTAGTCGAAGAGCTAAAACACAACAGATCAAGAGACTTTTAAACCATACCTCTTCGCCTGTGCTTGTCATTGTTTCCCGAGGTATAGCATACGT